AAGGCATCTAAACTCTGAAAATATCTGTGCTTGATTTTAAATAAAACAGGAGAAAAACTTATGCTGTCCAGACAACTAGAAAAATAAAAAAAGCACTCACAGCACTTTTTCATTAGTACTGACAATGATGTTTCTTTGTTGTTAATTTAGTGTGGACCTGTTTGCCATTTAATATGCAAATTGTAGTGTTTCACCAAATGTCTATGTGATGCACTGTGTAAAATGCACTTCATGTGTATGATTTTACAGGACTGACCTGAATTGATATGACTTTAATACAAATAATTTGGCAAATGATTTCTGTACTAATTAATCGATGTAATTCTTCACAAACATGTGGTTGGAAAGATGGAAGTGCAGTAGGTGTAGGAGACAGCCAATTGTTTTAACAGATACAGCAAGCAAAACTAAGAATCAGATGTTACCTGGGGTCCACTACCTGTGATCTAGTGTGCCAAACTTCCTAGGCCTCACAGCTGAGCAACATTTTTTGTACCATTGACTAAGATTTTTTTCAAATATCTTTTCCTTTTTAAAAAGCCTTTTGGAGTCATATAGAAGACTATTCATGCACTCTGTAACTATAGCAGATCACATGTAACAAGAGCAGAGTGATCCATGTTGGGTAAGAAATGATCCAAAATTTTCCTACGTCCATTACACTTTGGGAAGGAGATGGTTGCAAAGGGCATAAGGAATTGCTTTGGTATTCGCACAAAAGGTGTGAATTCTATGAGAACTGTAGGGTCTTAGAATGAAGGCTCAGAAAGAATACATAAACCACTCCAAGGCTAGCAACAGCCCCAAAATCAGGTAAAGAACAAACAGACAAGAAAAAATTAAAAACAGAGGGAACATCAGATGTTAGAAATACACATAATGCTTTAAAATCATGTGCTTAGCATGGGTGATGTTGTTTGCTGATTTATCGTGCAGCAATTAGGAGTTCTTCCTTAGGAGATGTGTGTGGCATAGAAAATTAACTGACTGATTCCTTCTTACACCAAGTAGTTGATTATGGGTAACTGCTTCGTTGTACGGAAGCTACACTAAGTGTGTTACTGTACACAGTCATCCAAGACTAAGATGCATCAAAAGTGCCTCAGTGTGCTTAGTAACAGCATAATTCTGAGCTCAACGAAACAGAAGGTTTTCAACTGATCTCTAGGATTTCTGGATTTGGCCTTTTCCACTCACCTGACTGGAAGGAAGATTTCCGTTTCAGTGCAGCTGTGAGAAGCCATGTTCTCCATTGTCTCAGACTGTCCATTTTTAGCATTCTTCTAGGTTGATGTTTACCCATCAACAGGTACAAATTCTCTGAACTATTTACCAATGGCACTTCTGCAGTCCCTATTTTCACCAAAGAAAGCAGTCTTAGCAGAACTTTCTTCTGAGTATGCTTGGATTTACATTATATTGCTCAAGCACTTGCAAAGGTACCATGCTCCCAGCTACACTAAAGAACTGAGTCTATAATTTAATAGCCCCCCTTTGAGTAATTAGTATTCACTCAATGAAATTCGGAGTTTGCAGAGGTCCAGTCAAAGGCCTAAGCACCATTTAAGTCCAGCTTATTCCTCAAGGCACCTCTGAACTGAATTGGGACCCATTTTATTAAATTATAGTAGAAAGACTGACATGTCAAGTATACTGATGCTAAAAGACCCAACCTCCCAAGACCTCACACAGATAAGTAATCATCACTTATGCTAATAGCACATTTGACTTCTGTGGGATGACACATGAGGATAGACTACTTATTTGACTAAGATTAGTAAGAACAGGCATGTTACACAGAACAAATGACTTCTAAATATCCAGCTGCAGCAAAGTGCTGACTCCCATCAGTGAGTGTGGTGAGGGCAAATGAAGGGCAGGATATGATCTTTAGAAACCTCGCTGAACACTATTATTGAATTGGTGGCAGTTTTGCAGATTTCTAACCTATAATAAACCTCAGCTTTGCCTCCTCAGTGCCACACTTCCCTCCACAGACTTTCTGATCTACTTTTCTTTTGCCATTATCCAACAATCCAGTTTTGTATATTTTTAAAACTCTTTCTTCTTTACTGTTTGCAAATTATTTCAGGGGGTTTGAAAGGTATTTAAATAACAGCCACAAAGTCACAAGTGCTCTGTTTCACTGCAGAGCAGACCACTTGGTAGCATCTCTACATTGCCCTGCCAATGTTCCTGCTCTCTGCTCTGCTGGGACACGTGCAGTCTCTATGCTCATTTAGTCTTTGGCTTCTCCCTTCAAAGCTGACAATAAGGGCATCATACAGGGTACACCACTCCAGTGAGTTTGTCTGATAAAATGCTTAACTGTTAGGCCTGTGCTTAATACAATTTTATTTCATAGAAGTCACAGAAACAATCAGATCTTGGCCCTTATGTTCTATAATTCTTGGAACCAGCAGTCTAGAAAGGGAACAATCTTTATGCTTAACTTGACTCAGTTTCATTTATTTGTTGTCGAATTCCTCATGGTCCAGTTTTGTTCCTTACTTTGTTGCTACTAATCTAAAAAGTATTTTATTACAGTTAAGTACAGTTGCCCTCTCTGGTTTTCCTAGCCTAATCAGACTTCTAAACCTGATTCTTTCTTGTTTTTTCTTTCATCACTGATTGGAGAAGCTTTATCTGAGAGTAATGCACTAGTGACCACTGATGACTGGCTTCTAGGGATTTTATGAATCCAGAATTAATTTGTTCCTGAGACCTGGAGAAACCATGAATGGTGAAAAGCATTGCTGGTACATGCATAATAACTGGTATAAATATTGTATCCAACACCAAAATCCCCAATAGTATAATCTATTTGCAAAGGGACCCTTAAATGCAGTTTTCTTTGACCTGTATTGTGGAAAACCGTATAAACGTCACTAAGTTAAAAAACATAAGTATTAAAGCATTAGTAGTATTGTTAAATGAGTATTTTCCTGTTTCTTGGGGGCTACTAGCTCAGCTGTAATCATTGCTCTGTGCGTGCCTGTGTGTTTTGCCAATCACATAAGTGAAATAAAAATGCCCTAATTTCTGCAACTTTGCTTTCATTGCACTGTAAAGCGCTAAAAGCAAGAAACAGTTTCCTGAAGAACTCCTCCATAGCAGGCCCTTGAACAAGATGACTGTTTCTAATAAGCAACAGCTGTCGTTGTGGTTTTACTAGTCAAATGATTCATGTCTTTTGCTCAGAAATGATAAGTGGAACAAATGTTTACTTAGATATGTAACAGAGGAACAATTGAAAAATAGTAGACTGTCAAATAGAAATATTTTCCTGTTATCTGATCCTTTACAATTAGTCTGAACTGGATTTTAGTCTAAAGGCAATGCTAGAGTGGTGCAGGCAGGATGGTGAAGAGTTTAGCTGACAGCATTCTGCAAACCAAATGCTGCAAGCTGATTTGAAAATGCCTGCAGTGGCCCTGCAGATTTGAGAGGGATACAAGCACCTCTGTGCAAACTGCTTCCCACACCCTCATTCCTGGCAGTCTCCCATCCTATCTTTAGTCATCTTTGTAGGGGACAGAGTGAACTTACCATTTCTGCTATGTCTTCAGGGTGTATCAAAGTGCTTCTCTGATGCTTGGTCTTGAGTGAAGACCCTCTGTTGGCCACCACTTCCCCAGGATTTTATGGGGTCTTCTGGGAGCAGCAGATTAAATGAGGAACAGTATTCCAGTACAGGAGATTCCAGGCTCTTTTCAAGGACAAAAAGATTACATTACCCTTTAGATGTTGGGAAGGAGAACCTAACAGACCCTTGATATATCTCTGCTGAGCCTGGAGGCTGCTGAAGTCAGAGAGATTTGACACCGCTGTGGCATCACAGGGCTAGAGGTAAATTTTTGTTAAGTGTTAGAGGAAGCAGAAGCAGGTTAACTCTTATGAGCCTAAGAAGACAGCATCAAAAACTGGTGTCTTCTGCCTTTGAAGGAGGGGCTGGGAGACAAATAAGCATGCAGAAGGCCAAGGGAGCCTAGGGATGCTCAGTGTACAAATGACATTGAATGAAGTATCTGGCTAACAAACTAGTGTACTTCTATATCTTATTTAAACTTACATTGCTGCTTGCCAGTAGAATAGGGTTTAAATCCACCTTAATTTTGCATAGATTCTGGACTTTGCGGCTTTTTCAGAATCCTCTCTTCAGTATTGCTATATGACATTGCAGTACATTGTACGGAAAACTGTCAGAGCTTTAGTTTCCCAACTGCAAAATGGGGGTAATATTTCCTTTCTCCCAGCTTTTATTCAGCTTACAAGGCCCCCAGGACTCGAATTCTTTTATTGCATGTTTCTGTATTGTCTTGTACAACAAGACCCTGATCTCAGTTGAAGCCCATAAGTAGCACTAAAATATAAATAGATAATAATAAAAAAATAATTTTGACACAAAATGGAATTTTATATTCTGGAGAGTGAAATAAAATATGTACTAAAGTCTACTAAAGTGTAACCATGAGATCAAATGGTAAAATTCTTCTGGCAACAAAGAGTTGACACAAATTTGTGAGATTAAATTGAACCAACTCAACGGTGGTTTATTCATATAAAGCATATGAAAAAAAGTGAGATTATCAAATTACCCTCACAGCATGGATTTTGACATGGATGTAGACTCACTGAGCCACCGGAGGACTGAGCAGGTGCATTGTTGTAATTATACCCTCAGTCTTGTGAGGAAGAAGCAAACTTCCCAGTTGCTTCCCTAGTGGAGATAAGGTGTTATCAGCCATCAACAGATGAGAGGGGAGAACAAGGACAAGGCACCTGATGGGAGAAAGGGGAAGAAAAGAGGAAGCAAAGAGAGCATATTCATAATGCTACTCTTTTAAAAATAATGCATATACACATCTACTCCAAGCCATTTGAATGCCAGTTCTAGTACTTGCTCCTTGTAGCTCTGAGTAACCCTTCTGCATGGTGGGGAACACAAAATCCTTTTTTAACGTTTTCTCTTTTATGGTCTTGTAGTGAGGTATCTGGCTAAATGTAATGATTTATTTGTTTATTAATTAATCAACATCAGACACTCTAGGAGTTACAATCCAAACAGTCCCCCACACAGGTTTTTATCACCTTATTCTGTACCCCTAGGGAAATACACATCTTTTTTTTCAGGAGCATGAATGGACATTTCTATAAATTGCAAATACTTGGGTGAATGTAATATGCAATATTATTCATCTTTGTATTCCAGGTGAATCCAGACTAGACTTCCGGCCTCTAGGGGATTCTGCTTCATATAATTATCAGTATTCAAAGAATGATTGTAGATGTTGTAGCTTAACAGCAGGTGAGTGGTCCTTATCTGAATATTAAATGCAACTGAATTTCTGGGTTATCTCTGGATAAATGTTTGTAGAGTCATTAGTGAAAGCATGCAGCCATAATCCCAACTGCTATTCTTCTTACAAAGGATTTCCAATTCTGTTTTGAATTCCTTTATAGGATGAATTGTTCAACTCTCCTTCCTGTACACACAATCTTGTCCCTTGGTTGGACTAACAGAAACATCAAGGAAAGTGCCTTGTAAGTAGTACCAACTCTGTCTTTTTTTTTTTTTTTTTTGAAGAAATATAGGGAAGGGTGACAAAGAGAAAGATTTATTATTTCCTTTAAGCACTATTAGAGCTCTGAGTGTTGGGAAAAGGTTCTTCAGTAAAATGCTCCTTTGTCCTTCCCAAGTTCTGGGAACTTTAGTTCGATATTCAGCGTTCTTACTGCACGATCTGAGAGAAGCTATATGTATTTCTTTAGTAAAAACCTTTTATTACTGTTTTAAAGTGGGAGATTTAATATATTTTAACACTGTTTTAGGAGCTTGATAGTGGATGCTATGTGAATATAGTAAATAGTAGCTACACGAAAATTAATAGTAACAGAGAACAACCGCCCCTCCTACTGAGCAGAAACAACAGACCAGAACCAGCACGGGAAAATTATTGGAGATAGAAGAAAGATTATTGTGGGACTATATAACATGAGATTTTTGAGGCACAACTCATGTTTCGGTCCCTGCATGTGAAGACCATCGTGGTCCTGCTAAAGAGCCTTTTTGAAGAGGAATTTTCAAGGTGGACATACTCCACCACAAAGTAACTAGCCTTACCCCTTGTTAGGCACCACAAAGGCTTTATACTCATTGAAGCCTGGGCCATCAGGGGCAAAACAGGTTATCACAGTTATTGCAAACAATTTGTTTAAATTGTACATAAAAAATTAATAATAAATTAAATATTATTTAATTGAATATTAAAAACCACAAACACCCCCCACACACACATGGGGCCATCACTATAGTAAGCCATGTACTGTTTATGTTAATTCCCATTTATTTTGAGCTGAGCTTTTGGCATAACATAGGTATCATCTTTCGTTTTCAAGCAGTATACCTCTCATTTCAGCTGTTTCAGGCTTCTGCAGACTCAGACAGATGATGCTCCTCCTGTCTACAAGACTTTCTGGTCTCCTTTGACAAAATATACAGTAGAAGCATTTATTCAAAAAAAGAAGAATGCTGAGTACAATTTTGTATTTATCTCTGAATTATCCAGCAAGAAAGACATGCAGCCTCAAGGACTAGGAAATACAAAGGACTCTGCTTCTAGATGCCAAAGTCCCATTTCATTTAGTAATAAGAAATAGGGAGAGCTTTTTCTAGCATGTGAGCACTTCTATGTATTTTTACCTAAAATTATTTAAGTATGTAAATCTCAAGTTTTGGAAGTGCACTGATTCAGACTCCTCCATCAAGAAATGAGTATTCCCGTAGTTCTCAACCTTCCTAGCTTTGTTCTTTAGGACATCAACAGTGAATGTTAATGGGGGCTTGTTCAGGTGCTTTGTACCTATGCTATGATTGCCAGCAAATTAGGAAAGAGAGCCTTAAAGGTGTGTGTTTTTTTCCCAGCCCCATATTCCTAAGTGTATTTATATGAAATTGGACAGTACAATAATTACAGTATCATCTCTGGTATTCCTGTTTTCATAATGTTGAAAAGGAAAAAAGAAAAAAGAAACTGAATAAGCAGTGTTTTTGGTTGTGTTTGTCATTGTGAGGATCCTCTGTTACACAGAAGGACTTTTGCATATTTGGGCAAGAGCCTTGTGAGGACTCCCTGCTTTAGGATCAGAAATACTCTATTTTGTTAGCAGAAATCAGCAACTGTTTTCTATTTGGCATTTTTATATGCAATTAAAAAAGAAAAGAAAAAAAATAGTAAAAATATTTCAGCCAAAACTGTTCTATACAGTTCAGAATCCAAATTTTCATTCTTGCTCAAGTATGAGTCACCTGCAGTCACTGAGATTAGTTCTGATTTATCCTTAAACATGTCCATTTTCTCATGATGTGTTTTAGCAATAACTGACCTCATGTTATTTGTATTCACTTCTATTTTTAAAATCTCTCAAAGCACTTGCACACCTCCTGATTTAAAAATAAGCCCTTTAACAGGCCGTCAGCACTTAGAAGCCAAAGGACAAGTCCCAATCCATCTGAGGCTGGTGGAAATTCTGACATTTATTCTAGTGGTGAAATCATAATTTTGTCAAAGTGTACAGTAAAGGGGAAGATTATTTGCTTAGAGAGCGATGAGGGTTGGCTTTGTCCATGTCATCAAGTGAATGATGGCTGATTTAAGAATGAAACTTGGATCTGCTCACAGAGGCAGTCAATCATTAGACCAGATGCCCCTGTTCAGCTCAGCTAACCAGTGACAAAAACACAGGAATATAATGGGAGAGAGAAAAAAAAAGTTATTTTATTTTATAGAACCTGAAAATCTCTCATGTTTCTGTATTGTATCTTCAAAAAACTTACAAAAGCAGTGATCTAATCTGGTATATGGCTTTTCTCTAGCTGACTGACTGAGGTTGGGCATTGTGGTCTTTATTCGTAACTTTGACCAATTTCAGAGACACTATTTGTATGTAGGAGGGCTGAACAGAACAGCTACAACGTATGCTAGCTGTAATCTGAGGTTGAAATATATGCTTTCCACTGCAGATACAGACCCTTGACTATCACCCCAGCAGGTGCTGCCAGGCACCAGTCTTCTGAGACACAGTCAATATCTACCTGAGATCACATTGTGGTTTTGACCTCCTAAGCAGATCTGTGTTTTGGCAGAATTTTTAAAACACCCCCAGCAATGCAGACAGAGTCTTAAGCAATATGATAAATACTGTAGTACATATTTTACAATTGTATAATATTTGCGTTAGGAATGTAGTTGTTTCCAAGTCCCATACTACATACTTGTCTGTCAAATTTCTGATGGAAGAAGACTGTGAAGATACAACCTGATGCTCTGGCTGCTTGGTTCTGGTCCAGGAGGGAGAAGCACTAACAATGCCTTTCCAGCTCCCCTTGTGCAGAGACTGTGACAGGCACAGACCCGGCCTGCTGCCATCGTTGCCCTGCCTCTCTGCCTGTCATGTAGGTAAGGGTATGAAATGCAGTGAGGGTGACTGACTACGTTCTGGTTTTATAACCCACCAGCCACCCCAGCAGAGCCACAGTCAACCTTTATGAAACTGTAGCAATTATCATAACACAACACGGTCAGCCCAGATCCAAAACCTTGAACTGCTGGTGCTCCCTTGACTGCTATTGAGTATGTGCGCAGATGCTTACAGGCCCCAGGCTGTTCAATAAAGTCGGAAAGAGGCCCATAGCAGGTAAATTACTGTTAGCCATAGAGACATTCCTATACAGGGAAGGATGTGAGCTATGCAAATATCTACTCTATAAATCTGTTATGTGGCTTGGGAGAAAAACAAAAAAGCCACTTTAAAATTTGCTCCAAACTTGGCCACAGTTTAGTTTTGTTTGTTCAAAGAAATTGAGTTAACTTTATTGTTATTTGTGTTTGGATCAAAGAAAACTATGAAAATAAACATTAGACAGAATTATAATCAACACTGGAAAAGAAATGTTTACTAAAGATTTTCCTCTGTGTTCTCTTACCAGCATTAATAATATTTTCTTTTGCTAAACTATTCTTGCTTCCTTCAAAGAGATTGATTTCAGCAGAAAGAACAAACATATGCAAATAAACTGAATGATGTTATACCCCCTACCCCTATCCCCCCAAACTACATCAGATAATTCCATATTGTTAGTCTGCATTACAGTTTTATCAGTTTTTTGTCTTAATCAGATATGAAGCTCTCGCAGTACATCTCTAGAACTGGGCTGTGACCCTGAAGTGACTCTACAGCACAGAAGCAGCCTTAACCCTGCTGCAATCTAATAGTTCAAATTTAACGGATTTGTTTTTTCAGTGGAAATAATGGCTTCCTGTCACAAAACAGAGCCACAGATTACATATCTGATAAATCTGGCTTTGGCATGATTTTTTCATGTAACACACAATTAACAGTGCTTTTCATTAGAGTCATGGTTTAGAGATTCTGTGATTTGGTGAAGGCATTAATACATTCATTACTATGCATTTTCTTAAAAAAAAAATAAATACTACATTCTGCTCATGCTTTACAAACAAATAATACTCTTATTTGAAAGAGCTCACCTATGTTTTCCAGTGTTAATTTAGCCTCAAAACACTATACTGAAATTATTACCACTAAGTGCTGATCTATTTTTTCACAAGGCATATAATTATAATTGATAACCCAAAATGTAAATAGAGTAATTTTGATTTTATAAGCTAACACCCATGTAGATACTGAAGATTTCCACATTATAGCTATAATTGTTGTTTGTCATGCTATAATCCCCTAAACATTATCAACAAATTAATAGCAGAACAATACACAAGAAGTTATACAGTTCTTCTATGGATAATATTACATGTTTTGAAGGAGTTTATTATCTTTAGTTTGAAGTCACAATTCAGAATTGATTGTGGTGCTTTCATTGGTTATCTTCAGCCCACCCAACCACCAGGCTCATACTGCTGCGTGTTGCTAACTCCTGGCATTTACAATGAGGTGATCATCACCTTGTAGTTCATTGGTGTGAATGCTGGTCAGATGGCCTGTATTTTATTAACAGAAAAAGGGTCACAAGTCAAATACATGCCTGGGGTCAGTGAGCAAATACAAAAAGAAGATTAGAGGAACAAAAAAATGTGACTGGAGGAGTAAAATCCCACTGGGGGTTAATCGAGCAGAAATGTATCAAAGAATGTAAACTACCCTTTCCTTTGTTATTCATCATACAGGACGCAGTTCCTATGTCCTGCTGATTGCAGCTATATAGAGCATCATCTCCAGAATGCTATCTTTTAATGATCTCTTTCTACAGAGCCTTACAGAGGATCTTCCCATAACGCTACTGCTTACTGCTGTTACTACTGCTACTACTACACAAACAACTACAAAAATTAAACCCACATAGCATAAATATACAAATTACAAATATTTGCTTCACCTAATATCATACAATGCAGAGATTGCCTATAAAAATAAGAGAAAAATATCATCCAATGTCACTTTTCTGGGATTCTCTTCTGCCTTCAAGTTGAAAAGACTGGACCAACAATTAACTTCACTATTACACTGATTTAGTTTCCACTTGCAAAGCAAAAGAATTAATAAAAATGTTTCTGAAGAGATGGTGTTGTACTGCTATAGTTTCAGGTTTTCTGAGAAAAAATGTCCTTTTAAAAGACAGAACAACAGAAAAGGAGCTGGCATTCCTGATCTGCACCATAAGTACTGGACTTGGTGGGACCCAAATGGCAGCAGTCAAGAAAAATCACAGGGTACTTACCAAGCAGCAGCTGATTTTCTCTTCTGATACATGTTCATCGCTCTTTCTGTGACAAGAAGCAGAATATTCTGCCTTATTTGAGCTATGCACATTTGTCTAATTCTTTAAAATCCCAGCAGTAGAAAGATTCCCTTTTCATCAATTTTCATTTATTATGCTTGTAGCTACACATTGTAATATGAATTCTTCTATTCATGTATAGGGCACATCTATAGATTTTCTGTTTTCACACATCACATGAAAAGCATATTTCAAAACTATTGCATTATCATGTGCCAGAATAATATTGCTGTGGGAATGCAGACACATTATCAAAAGTACAGTGTAAAGCAAGGAAGTGAGAGTCAGGAAGGAAGGAATTCTTAGTTCTATGACCACATGCCACTGACTTACTGTGCAATATTCATAAAGTCTTTTCATCTTATTTTGGCATACTTTTTATATATAAAAGAAGCAATATGTCCTTCTGTACAGCTGAAATAAATGGCCCAATCATGCCCTTGAAGAGCAAAATTGGGATTTCTGTCATCAGCGTCAAGATGAGCCAAACCAGACTCAGAGACTGTAAATCTTTACATTCCAAAGAAAGACACTACATGCATGAAAATTTTATGGCCAGGTACAAATTGTGTAGACTACCAAAGGATTAATGTTTAACAAAACACTTTAAATGTAAGTATTCCTTGAACTAAAATCAAAGGTTTCCTTAGTTACCTGTGTAGCTATCTATACATATCTTCCCATACTATTTATTTTCACACCATTATATACCTTCTTATTTTCAGAACATTACATACCTTCATACATTATATGCCTCCTTCAGGAATATATATATTTGATTCTGCATTGTTTAGCAAAGTATATTTCTAGAAACTATATCTATATTATCTATAGACAATACAAATTATTACAGAATGGATTTAGACAGGTTTATAAAATAATAATAGGTACTTAATATATAAAAAAGCATATAAAAACCAGAAAAACTGCTATAACTACATTGAAATTCAACTAATATATTTCTAAGACATCATGTGCTTAGAGTGTTTTTTTAAAGCTTACATTTCAGTCTTCTGAGTCCTTTCTATGGAATACAGTTCACTAAAACATAACACGCTGAAGTTTCTCTGCTATCTTAGTGTAGAAGCATTACTCAGAATAGCTAACTTTTTAATAATGTGGTCAAAATATTTTAAGAAATATCACCTTATGAAATACAATTAATTACCTTTGCGTTGGTATTATGTGGAGGAGACATACTCTATACTTTGGACAGCAATGTTGAGATGTATTGAAGTTTGCAGAATGTTATCATGCAGTATTACTATTTAAAGGGTTGTGAATAAGAATTTTACTGCAGTCACAACATATACATTGAGCTCTTCCAGTACATTGATCATTCAAATAAAAAGAAAGGAATGGTTTTGATCTGCAAAGAAGATGGGTAAAAAGTAAGCCTACTCATCTTAACTCTGCATTAGGGAAAAAAATGAACTTTGATCTATCATATTGCAGAGCCACTTGTATTTCAATGGCAATTTATAAATTCTTTAATAGTCAAAGCTTCCAAGTAGTAAAAGCTTCTTAGACTTCCTAATCTAATAGCCATTATTTAACATTTTTATTCTGTATGTCTTACTGTTCAGAAGGAAGAAAGCAACATAATTTCTTAAGAATTCCTTTCTTTTTAAGAAATGTGGCAATGGAGCCAAATACTACTAATTTTGTTCTTCCTCATGCTGAGATAAAAAACAAAGCAGAATCCCACTTTAATGTGTCTTAACATTTCTTACCTAAGCTGATAGATAGCACTGTGTATCAGCAGTGGCACTGTCTTAAGGTCAGGATATAGCAGCACTACACCCTAACGAACACCTCTTCCCTTGGGAGTGGAGTTTCTGCTGTTAGCACCATCTCCCTGCCCACTTGCTGACAGCGCTGGACTGAAGATACAGCTCTGCCTGCGGTGCTCCCACCAGCCCCAGTCTGGGTACCTTCCACCCTATGGGGAGCAATTAGGAAGCTTCTGCTGTGCTTCAGCCACCACAACTTCTGCAATTTGAGTTATAGAAGATATAAAAAGTCTCTCTGCTTCCTTCTCCCAACCGCAGATGGGTGGGAGAATCTATCCCAAGATGATGGACCCAACTCCATGGTGACTCCCAATTTTTAAGGCATGCCCTGTATACCTCAGGTGATGGAGGTGTGAGGATGTTCAGCACCCTCTGTGCGTATCACAGGAGTGAGCCTGAAATCAGCTTAAGACTGGCTTATTTTAAAAGGTTTACCTTGACAAGTCCAAAGCATAAGGAGGAACATTTAAGACTGCAGATTTAAGCTTGCATGTTGTTACCGCTAAACATTAAACCCTAAGGTCAGAACACAGAATTCTCACAGTCAACCACTCCAACTTGAAAATACATCAGTGTATTTGCTAAATGGAAACCATACTCAGATCACATCTTATCATAATGTCACAAAACACATAAAATTACAAATCAGTTTTAAGGCAAAATACATGACAGCAAAATATAAGTACACAAAAACTACATTAAATATCATTCTTCATTTGTCCTTACCACTTCAACTTACCTCTCAGTTCAAAACTATCCACTGCAGTGCACAGCTTGAGATAGTCTAAGATCCATTTTAGAGTGGACTGAAATATAAATGACAGTTCGCACTACACATGAACATAGACAACTGTATAAAATATTTAAATAAAGACAGAAAAGAACAGAGGAAACCAACAGAGCCTTTGGCAAACTCAGCCTTTGGGAATTTAGCAGCTTGAGATTCATTGCAAATTTCATCTTTAATGTTATTTTTAGTTCAATATTTTGTAGCACTCAGAAGTAAATCTTTGTGTGCTGTCTCTCCCCCTGCTTGTGCTGCTTTCTTTTCCAATCTCTTTTTAAAGAAACCTAATATATTTTCAATACAATTGATTTGTGACATTCTTTGTGATATTTGTTAAAGTTATCCCGTTTCTTCGTACAATTCAGTGAAAACCATTACACTGTTGTTTCTTTTTAAGTGCTGAATATTGACTGTCATTGCTGAATATAAACAAGACCCCCTAGTAGTCCTTGTTCCACCACACCTTGTGTTGCACTCAATTCTCTTACATTAATTTTGATTCCTGGGTTAGGGTCATACTCTTTGTTTAAACTCTCACCACTGCTCCAAACACTGCCACACAAGTGTATTTTCAGAGCAATTTTGATTTCACACTGGAATCTGTTCTTTGTCTCCCCGTAAATCAATCAGACCAGAATGATACAGAATAACACAGAACTGAAAGATGCTG